ATTATTCAAATATTACTGATCGCTTACGTGTATTGATGAAAAAAGATGTGGTATTCTGTTGGGAAAACAATCAAGGAGATGCTTTTACAAAATTCAAACAGGCATTATGTAATAGTCCATGTGGCATACTTTGACACTAATCAAAACATAACTTTGTCAGTGGACAGTTTCTCTACTGCTCTGGGAGCAGCGGTATTACAGTGTGGAAAGCCAGTTGCGTTCGGATCACGAAGCTTAACTTCAACAGAACAAAATTACTGTCAGCTGTCAGCATCTATGGTTGCTATAAAATGCATCAATATGTGTATGGTCGCGGTGTCGTAGTGGAGACTGATCACAAACCTCTTGAAACTTTGTTCAAAAAACCTCATTATAAGGTACCAGCCAGACTGCAACGTATGATGTTGGCAGTGCAAGGTTATAACTTATAGGTAAAATACAAACCTGGTCGTGAACTCCTTATAGCTGACACACTTTCTCGAAGCTGTGCTAATAAACAGGTGGAGTGTAAATTACAACAACAAATTGATAATATTGTTATGCATGTACAATTACTTCGAGAGAGTTTGCCAATATCTAACGTTTGGTTAAAGAAAATACAGGGTGCTAAAGAAATGATAGGGTGTTAAATACTGTAAAATCATTTATTTTAAATGAATGGCCTGAGAACATTAATAACTTAGATTCAAATGTAAAACAATACTGGACCTTTAGAGATGAACTGGCTGTTGAATTTTAGATAACATCATTTTAAAGAGCAATCTTGTGCCTATACCTTGTTTATTAAGAGATTACATGATGAAAAAATACAAGGTCTGAGTAGTTGTAAAATAAGGGCGCGTTCAAGTGTTTTTGACCAGAAATAAATAAAAATTTAGAGGATTATGTAAACAGCTGTATACCGTGTTTGAGGCATTTGCCCAACATTCAGAAAGAACCATTGTTAAATCATGAAAAAAATCCTTGGTACAAAGTAGGTATAGATATCTGTTCTTTTGACAACAAAGACTTTGAAAATTTTTTTTAGTTGTCGTTTATTAGATTATTACTCTAAATTCATTGAAGTGTGTAAATTAGACAATTTAATAAATGATTGTGTAATAATACATTGTAAATCCATATTTATAACACGCAAAATAGGCGCCTTGACGTCGAGTTGCGGACACCAGCCCGTTGCACCAAGTACCAAATCCATATTTGCCAGGCATGGTATACCCGCTATTATTGTAACCGACTGTGACACGCAGTTTACTTCAGAAAAAATTAAAAGCATTGCTGATTGTTATAACTTCACACATATTGAAACAAGCCCTAAGCATTCGCAATCGAACGGACAAAGCGAGAGTGGAGTAAAGATATTTAGACGAGTCCTTAAAAAAGGTAAAGAGGATGGCACTGATGTGTACTTAGGTTTGTTAAACTACAGAAATACCCCCAAGCCATACTTACATTCCCCGTCCCAATTACTGTATTCGAGAAATTTAAATTCATTAATACCTATACCTAAAAAATGCTTAAAACCCATTGACTTACAAATAAATGGACGACGGGTCTAATACAAAAACCACGAAAAAAATGTCCCAAGTCAACCTATTTAAACGTAGTGACATGTAAAGGAATATGAAAAAGCTAAAACGTTGAATTTAAATTGTAATGTCATCGCAGTACTGTCTAATTTTGCTTGCTTCGCTGTCAGTCGAACAAACGAAGACTAAAGCGTGAATGACGCTCACTCTGCATACGATTTTAACGCCCTATAAGTTCGGACATTTTTTAGCGCGGACCCGACGTCCATATAATTGTAAGTCAATGTTAAAACCTAAAATTGTTAAGGTCGATAGTCACAAATTTAGTCAACATGGTGATTCAGTTAAAAATACTATGATGAAAATGCGAAACCTTTGTCAAATCTGAGCTCTGATAATAATGTTTAAGAAAAACTTAGAATCAACATGGATTCCTGGTAAAATTATAAAGAGTTGTGAGCAGCCAAGATCCTATTTAGTGGCAGATGATGATGGAAATATATTCAGAAGAAATAGGAAATATGTAAATTCGGACCTTAAAAGTAAAAATGAGGATTCTAAATTAAAAGAGCGCATGAATATTAACAGTGACGCTTGTGAGGAAACTTTAACCGGGACGGACACTTCTGACGATATGTTGCCTTGTAATTTAAATGTTTCATTAATAGCAATTCCAATGGAAATTATATAACGAGAAGTAACAGAACAAGTAAGGGCTCCAGATAGGTTAAATGTTTAAGTAGGATCCTAGCAATAGGTTAATAAGATAATGTTTTAACTTGTTTTGTATAAAAAGGGAGATGTTGGTATAACTGTATCTAATTTGTGAATGTTTTTTAGATCTAGCAACACTCTCTACATGTGATGTCAGATATAGTGAAAAACAAAATATTGTACTCTCAATGTCTAGTTATTTTAATTACATTGAATATAATAATGAAGGAAGAAAACAGATATGTTATGTAATCGATCACCCTGAAGCCAATGGCGCAATAAAAACAAAAGGGCATAACTTGTCTCGACTCCGTTTTTCACTGGAGGTACCTGTTATTGTCTAAATGTCGCAATCTTTTTTTATAATATTAAGTGACGGGAAAAACAAGTCGTGCGCCCGACACGCCTGTCCATAACAGTTGCAGTGCCACTCAGAGCTTTCACCAAGGTCTGGGTAGCAAAGACGGGGCAGTACTACCCTGGGTGAATTCTTTCACAAGTTGCTCTACTGCTACATAACCTGCTCGTACCCTACTGATAAGTGGGACAAAGAGCGCAATATCGCTGTCCCGCTCTGATAATTAAAGGCCGAGTCTGCAGCAAGTAAATAATCTTTCTATAGTTTGTTATTCCGTGATTGGATCAATCAATGTGTACCATTTGTTTGAGCGCCTTATTCAGTTTACTTCTTCAAGTCTCCACCCTTTGCTACTGCAATACAGTTTGTATTTCCTAAATGTTACAGGTCCCATATCATCAATATTGTCAGTGAAATGGTCATACCGTACCGTGACGCTGATTGGTGGGAGCTTTGCTGCCTTCGGAATGATAATTAGCAGTTGCGCTTTTAATATCACATATCTATATTTTAGGTGAGATTTGTTAGTGCAGCACCACAGACACATATTTAAATAGACGCCGCAAGTACCGCGATCTGTATGAAAACATTTTTTGTACCTCCGATGACGTCACAAAAGCTATTTAGTGATGGGAAACCTCCATCGCCACTAAAGCGGTTGATTAAATCGAAGAGGCGGATACAGCATCTATGCAGCAGCATTATCCCTGCGACAGGTCATTAAAAATCGCAAGATATAACCTTGTAATAATGCGCACTGTTTAATGTATTTTACGAAATAAATTTCTGAGTGAAAATATTATTATGGTGTGTGCAGTCACTGACCCCAACTTCATATCTACTTTGGAATGACGACTGATCAGCAGGCCAGTAAACTCAGTCTATAAATTCTATAAGGTGAAATAAGACTATAAATTCTAAGTATTCCAGTTACCAGTGCCCCATACCAACCCCATACCCGGGTACTACCCGATCAATAGGTCCAATGCCCATACAATATTGCCCGTAGCCCTATTGGTAGAACCACGGGCTAACAACGTTGCCGTTGGTACTACTAGTAAGACTACGCAGTAGGACCACCGGCAATAAATCAGTTTTTTAAGTATTTGTTGATTATAACAAACCGTGAAATATTAATATAATAAAGTAATACCTGAATAAAATAATTAAGTCCTTTATAAATACGTGTTTCGAAATAAAAAACTGTTGCTCCGGAAAACTAAAAAAAAAACAACAAACTTTATAGAAAATTTTTATAACATTTTCTAAGGTACTAAGAGTTTCTTTTTGAAGAACTTTGTTTTATGATCGGAATTGAGAACTGTGTTGCGTCAAGTGAACATCACTAACAGTAAAATTAGACCAAAATAAATATTAGGAAAGTATCGCTTGGTCGATATTTATGACCTACTAACGAAGGACCACAGGTGTACCGCACTAAGTAAAAGCCGCAATGTATTTCTATATATTTCTTTTGCGTATTTGTTTTCTCGTAATTCATTAAAAATGAAAATAAAAGATTTTGAAATAAATTATGCATGTTCTGATTATAAAATTACATAACTGTGGAAGAATTCGTCCCTGTTTATTTAACTTCTCTTAGCTGTTATGTTTTTGCATTTACTAGGTGATATGAGCGCCGATGAAAAAGCGAATTTGTATAACGGTGTTTGTTTTAACAAAAATTATTATACAAATACCTTTTCAAAGGGAAAAATAAAATAATGTACTGTACTTTCTATAATAATCAAATTTTTATCTGTTCGATCAGGCGCTCCGATCGTACGCACGCGCACACTTCCGTATTGTGTACGCGTAGTGAAAATGGCGACGCAAGAAATTGACAAATTAATGTTTTAATCAAAACAACTTCGAATATAAAGTCACTAAGTTTTGTCTCTGAAATGTCAATTTGTGGCGTCGCCATTTTTACTACGCATACATAATACGTAAGCGTGCGCGTGCGTACGATTGGAGCGCCTGATCAAACTGAATCGAACGGAGCGCCGATAGCATTTGTTGGCGGCGGCGGCGCGGGGGGAAACGCGGCGGCGGCGGTGTGACTCATATCTAGTTTCTAATGGCACAATTAGGTATTTCTCGCGTTTTCGACTATAGTGTAGTTAAACATTAACTACGATAGTGGCCGGGCGCGTTCTGAAAAGCGTAGCAGCGGCAATTAAGCGTTTATAGCTTAAATTGGGCACGCGAAGTACACTTTCGGCGTCTATTTAGATATATCTATGTGCAGCACTACTTTCTAGAGTGTGAATTTTACAAATCATTCGATTTGTACGGATATAGTTGAATGCAATTATTTTAGAGTAACTTTTTTGTCGTACAACATCAATGTAAAACAGCCAATATTTTTGTAGCTATATTGGCTGAATGATTATAATAAGCTGTCGTGTTGCACGTTCTTCCTGTCTATATATATATAGTTTTCGTAAAAAAATAAGTGCGCATTTGACTTCCATCTCACCTGATGGAAAGTGACAACGAAGCCGAGGATAGAGCATACACACCTAAACAATACCTATTCACTCTCACCTTGAAATGGTCCAAGTTATAACGTTCAGGGAACAAGTCTGCAGACAGGGAATTCCACTCCCTAGCCGTTCGCCATATAAACGTGGAAGTGAAACGCATCGTGCGAATTCATGGAATATCCACAACATAGGGTGTTGGAATTCCAACCTACGCCTGGTCCCCCAATGATTGACAGGGGAAGGCAGAATTAATTCGTGCAATTCCCTCGCACACTCTCCGTGATATATCCTGTCTATATGATTTATGGCCCCAACATCCATGGTTTTGGTCCAGGTTTAACTGCTCCTTGAGGTGCTGGAGGCACAATAATCTAAAAACAAATAAGCTGTCTTACTTGTTATGCCAAAAAACGTCAACAAATTTCCAAATTTAAATTTTTTTCTATATTTTTTTTTTAATTCGATACCCAGTTTCGGCGCAATGGTGGGCATGGGCGCTGGTCTCGCCTTCCCGCCCACCGTGTACATCGTGACGTCATACTTCGTGCGGCTTCGCGGCTTAGCCAACGGCATATGTATGTCCGGGTCTGCGTTTGGAAGCATTATACTGCCGCCTGCGTTGAGATATTTGCTGGAAACATATGGATACAAGTAAGAGTACCCTTAAGTTAACGTGATACAGGTCGAAGAGGGACATTGGACGCAGTAGGTCATCGTGAATGTTTGTTCTGTATGAAGGCTAAATAACGACTAACTTATTCATACGTCAGCATAACATCAATCCATGTGCATCCTGTCGGAAAGCAGTCAGTACGCCATGCATCCAGTCAGAAAGCAATTAGTATGCAGTCAATACGACATCCATTCATTTGCATCCAGTCGGAAAGCATTTAGGGTGCATATAGATTTTTAGGCTTTCGTGGTTATTCACTAAATGATTATCACTAATTTCAGGTTTCTTACCACGGTTGCACGCTCAATGGTCACGGGTTGACAGTCAACCCGTGACCATGTAGCGTTCAACCGTTCCGAAATATCGGGAAAATAAAAAGAAGTCATACCGTGGTAAGACACTTGAAATTAGTGATAATCATTGATGGTGTAGTCAGCATGACATCCATCCTTTTGCATCCAATGTGAAAGCAGTATGAATACAGTCGGAAAGCAGTTGCCAATGGCATAGGCGTCACTAGAACCTAAACTTGATAATATGGTATGCCACAGCTTGTGCTAACGACTCATGACAATTACAATTCCGCAAGTAGCTGTGTGCTGAAAAAAAAAAACAATTTCAAATTCAACAAAAACACAAAAAAGAATGATATTGTTTAATGACTTTAAATTTGTATTATATTTGTTTTTTGTTAATAAATATGACCTTTATTCACGCAGGGGTGCGGTGCTAATACTAGGCGGCATTATGCTGAACGTGTGGGCGGCAGCTCTCCTTTTTCAGCCCGTGGAAGAGCACATGGTCAAGAAGTACAAGGAGGTGGAGGAGGACGAGGATGTACCACAGGTAGGTTTTGGTTTTGTGCAAGTCTCGTGTGGAAGGGTTTTGTTTTCATACTAGAGATGCGACTTTACGGATATATATACATGTTACAGAATCGAAAATATAAAAATAATACAAGGAAAGCGACATTTCTAGTCAGCGGCTGTAAATTAACCTGGCTGAGTGAAGAAAATCTTTCATAGATTTCTCACAGATGGCGCTACGGCGAAAATGTCGTTAAAACCATGCAAAGATCTGCCATAAGCACAAAGAAAAATTCATAAGGTCTGCTGGTTCGTTCCGTAGCTCACTTGGGAGAGCGTCAGATACGGTATGCTGAAGGCGCTGGTTCGAATCAAACTGGATCGAAGGAATTTTTCTTAGAGTTCGATCTTTGTATTAATAATTAAAATACAAAGTTTTTTAATGATTGTCTTTGTAATTTCTTCATGGGTGCTTTATTTGCATCGACTATTAACCAGAAACAGACAAAATAAGGGCAATCCTTGGCAAAAAAATGGGCCTCATATCACTTTTAAATATCAACTCTCGTTTGCACTGAAATCACAAATTAGAAAGCTGAAATAGTACAGCGCCAACAACTGACCTGTGTGTACGTCCCCGTATATTCCAAAAATATTCTGTATTTATTGTAATAAAGATAATATCTCTAATCATGAGGGGCTGTTCCATTCGGTGGTGTGGGAATAACAGCAAAACATCTAATTACAAAACAAACGGAATCATATTTCATCAATAATTAAATATGTAATTTTGCAATTTTGTCAATTATAGCAAAGCTCAAGTTAAACTGGTCGATTTAAAGTAAAACAATTGACGACACCCGTCAATTGTTTAGAATTCGGTCTGACCAATCGGAGCGCAGTTGTCACAGTAATGATATGGCAGAACATTTCGTCTCTATTTCTGGTCATATATTCGATGTTTATTTGCACTGTTGAAAGTTTGATTTCAACTTCTAGTTTTCGTTTTTGAACCGGAGTTTATTGACATCGGTGGTTTTGACATTGTCACGGGCAATTACAATGTGAGTTTCTAAGTATAGACGGAACGTTTACGTTTCATATGATGTAAAGGCACACACATTTGCACAGTGGTCGCTGGATGAGAAATTAACTTTTCTACATTGGTTGTGGTCTGGGTGTTCTGGGTAGTGTGACTTCTGTTGCTCTGGTACTTGGAGTACAGATAATTTCCTAATTTACTACCTGGTATAGTTATTATTTATAAGCAGTGACCGGAATTTAGGGACTTAATTTAGTTAAAGAATAATATGGACATTCCCTTCTACAAATCCCGAACCTTGCAGGAACTGATTATGTTTTAAAATGCGTATTATTTATGATATTTGGGTAGATTGCCGACAAATTATTATTTCCTATTAAGTATTTTCTACAAGTTATTGTCTCATAAAATAATACTGTAATTCTGTTTCTATAGGTATTTAGGTATTTAATAATCCCAGTACAGAGTCCTAAAAGACCGACCTCAAAAGTCGTTCACCCCTTAGTTTGCCACCATTAGAGAGGGAATATTTTTTCTTTTTTTAAAATTTTTATTTTTTATTTTTTTTAAATTTAAATGGGACCAATGCTGAGGTATCCTTTTTCCAACAAAAAAAGGAGAATTGAGAACCTCCTCCTTTTTTTAAGTCGGTTAAAAATAAATAGAGTAATGAAATTTTTAGGTTATTAGTCTCTGGGGTGTCTCAGTCCCGGTACACCTACATATTGTGCAATGTGTAATTGAAAATAATATTTTTTTTTGTAAATAATGTCTTTCGTCTTAGAAACTCACAATTCACGGTAACATTTGCAAAAAAAGTTTTTATGGGAAAGTTTTTTATGGGATTTTTTTATGTTGTTGTTATGGAGTGTTTTTGAAAATGAAACAAGCACAAAATCACAACATATGGTGGCATCGCCATTGCATTTAAAAGTAAGCCGTTTAAATTCATTTATGTAATGTCTGTCTGTATGTTTGTTTTGCTTATCTAACATAGAACAGTGGAATGTAAGTTTGATTCGAAGTTCAAAAAATATTTCGACACTGGAAAGGCAAAACGTCTAACGTGCATTTGGAAAATATTATTGGCGAGCGATTTAACGTATTTTTTTAAGCAAAAAATCGTAACACTAATTTTATTTGTTATACGAAAAATTAGAAAGTTTAAGTTTTTCCATATATTAATATAGTTATTTGTTATGCACGACTGTTTGACGGGAGTGCGTGTATTGAAAACAGACGAAGTGAAGGAGTCTAGGAGTCTTAAGATTGTTCAAAAATAGATTGCAGAGCTTAGTGAGCGTGGAAAAAACGCTTTTGTGCGCAGATTTTTAATGAGACAAAAGGTCTTTCCGAGTAGTAGGGTGAGAATAAAATTAAAATTTTTATTTTCTTAAAAAAATTACTTAAATCGCACTACTGTACTATTTGCCAAATGCGCGTTAATCATTTTACCCTTCAAGCCTCAATTTTATCTTTCTGTTAAACCACCAAACACTGAGGGCGTCTTTAAATTAGAGGCTTACAGAAGCGCTTCCGTGGTATCACTATGGCACTGCATTGGTACCAATGCTAATTTAGATACAATATTTAGAAGTGCAGTTGCAGAGTCACTGTCGTGACACGCGCGCGCTATTTTGCTGTCACAATAGATGACCTAAAAATTTAGTAAAGACATAGATTTCTCACAGATGGCGTTACAGCAAAAAAGTCGTTAAACACACAGAAAAATTCGTAAGGTCCGTGGTTCGTTGCGTTGCTTAGTTGGCAAAGCTCTCGTAGCTCTGGCACCGCCGGATCGAAGGAATTCTTTCTTAAGTGTCCGATCTTTGTAATAATAATTATAACGGAACTAGTCGAGTAATTACACAAAAATAATTAAATGTTATGGTGGTCAAAAATTGTGACATTGTTAAAAATTACTGAGGCGCTACAGAGGCACGGCAGTCATGCCACAGCAGCGCTCCTACAAGTGTTTGATTTGAAGGCGCCCTTACTAGTGATGCAACTGACCTCTACTTCCGTTTTCGCAACTGCGGAAGTACCACATCTGCGGAAGTTTCGCAGGTTTTTCACATTACTTTCCATTTCTGCAACTTTTATAACGAAAATTACAACTTTTAGTTTTACAAGTTTCGTGACAGATGAAGCGCGCACGCGAATCGCTCGGCGGTTGGGCAATTTTTTTAGCAGTTTTATTTTATGTTAAATGAAATTGTGACACTAAAAGCAAGTCCTGTTTGGAACTATTTCCTTAAGATCTCTATAACATTTATACTTCTGCTTCCGCATCCGCTTCCGTTTCCGCTAAGATTTAGTTTTGACATCTGTTTCCGTTACGACACTTCAGCCCTTATTATCACATGGAAACTGTGCGCTTATTTCATATTGGAAGCTCAGAGGGTAGTCACGAGTTGCATACACGTTACTCCTATTAGACAGCAGTTATATTTTATCAACTATTTCTCTCGGGAATCGAACTAGGGACCATTGCGTGGCAGACCAGTATGGTAACCGTTCGGCCACGGAAGGCTGTTAAATGATACTAAAGTACATAATTAATTACACACATCAAAAGTTCCTAGTGATCAATCACATTTATGAATTGTCATATGCAGTGATCGGAATTGAGGGAGTAAGGGCGCGTCCCCATTATGTCGTGACGACATGTAGTCGTGCTGTGCTGTAAGTGTCGTGGCGTGTATATTTAAATAAACTTGTTCACACATAGAACAACACGATTGACTGTCGTTCACGACTTTTTTGATTTTACGACGACACACTGTCGTGACAATGGGAAGAGCTAGAACGACCGTCGTCAGATGATAAATAAAGCGTCACGATAAAAATGTGACTACAGGATAATCGCAGCTTCAAACGGTACGATAAATTTTCATCACGATCTAGCGGGAACAGCTAGACACGACTGTACGTTCAACGATAAGTAAAACGTTACTACATAATGGGAACGCGCCCTTAATTTAGCTGAACTAAAGAATAATGTGGACATTCCCTTCTACAAATCCTGGAACTTCTCGGAACTGACTGTATTTGAATATGCGTATTATTTATTGGCATTAGAGTACATTGGCGACAAATTATTATTTCCTGTTGAGTGACAAAAAATATATATTGTGGTTGTGTTTCTATTTTTCTATTCTATTTCTAGGTACTTACGTATTTAAATACTTCAGCCATTTAAAAAATAAAGCTGAGACAATTTATGTTATAGAATGTTTAGAAAAAAACAGTAAAAAATAAACTTAATACGCATTGATGGCGTGATGGGTATGTCCATACTAAGAAAACGTTCATATATTAGGTAAATTAACACCCCCAATTCCGATCACTGATCATCAAACCTTTGATCTCTAGACATTTTTGAGCGGTGTGTTTTATAATAGGATGCTATTTTCAAGTATTAAATAATTATAACTTTTGGTAAAAAAACCAAGTCAAAAGGTCGTAGAATTATTCACTTCCTAGTTTGCCACCCTTAGAGGTGGAATATTTCCTGGTTGACCAATGCTAAGGTACCTTCTTTCTACAAAAGAGAATCATCAAAATTGGTTACTGCCTAATAACATAAAAGAATAACAGTGGCCGTGGGTTCCCCTTGACCACTGAGGGTGCGTTCCCTTTATGTCGTAACGTTTTATTTATCGTTAGACGACTGTCGTGTCGAGGCTGTTCCCATATCACGACTATCTGTCGTGACTGCGTCGTGGACGTTTATTTTATCGTTGAATGACTGTCGTGTCTAGCTGTTCCCACTAGATCATGATAACACTTTGTCGGTCCATGGCAGCCGCCTTGACGTTTACACGACAGAATCGTTTGAAGCTGCGATTATCTGTCGTCACATTTTTTATCGTGACGATTTATTTATCGACTGTCGTTCTAGCCCTTTCCATTGTCACGACAGTCTGTCGTCGTAAGGTTAAAGAAGTCGTGTTGTTCTATGTGTGAACAGCTTCATTTAAATGTACAAGCCGCGA